CATGAAAAATGGGAGGAAAAACCTATATGTGTTAACAACAACAAAATTGATTATGAAAATGAATATGTATATCTGGGTCAAGTAATCTCGCCAACAGATGCAACTTCAAAAGAAATTGATAGACGCAATGGGAACGCACGGAAACAATATTGGAGTCTGAAAGAGATTATGAAAAACAGAGAAATAAGTATGACCATCAATCGGAAACGTTTTGATACTTGTGTATTGCCTGTATTGACATATGGTTGCCAAACCTGGGCACTTACTAAATCTCACAACAGAAAACTTGCAGTGTGCCAAAATGCTATGGAAAGGAGTATGATGGGCAAAAAACTGAAAGATAAAATAAGAACTACAACCATAAAGGAACACACCGGAACAAGGGACATTACAGTAACCATAAGAAAACTGAAATTAAAATGGATAGGGCATACAATTAGGGGCAAAGAAAAATGGTCAAAAACAATAATATTCTGGTTCACAAGAAATAGGAGAAGGAAACGAGGAAGACCATCCATAAGATGGATCGATGAAATAAAGGCTGTTGCAGGTGGCACATGGACAAGAGTGGCTGATGATAGAGAAAAATGGTCACAGTTGGAGGAGGCCTTTCTTAAAAGAGGCACACAGACTGGGATGTTGAAGCAAAATTAGTCTATAAAAAATATGGAAGAAAGTATGAACTAATATTGTCTTAATAAAAGGCTTTTATTATTATATTAATATTATTATTATTTTGGGTATCTATATAGTTTTCTCATGTGGTTGGGTTCTATAAATATATAATTATAAATGAAAATGAAAAGATAAATATACATAAATATCAGTAAAGTAAAATAAATACAAAAATACATAAATAAATAAAAGCCCAACCAGATGAAAGCCCTCGGCAGGGGAGACCAAACGGCCCAAGGTTAGGGGGGAAAGGGAAAGAAACCGGCGGACGATGCGGGCGGTATCGAGGAGCACCGCCCTCTGCATTTGAGCCCGGAGCGGTCCGTCACGGAGTCTTAGTCGCCTCAGATGATCCGAGAGGCTAACTGGGATTAGCCTATTCGCAGAGACGACTACAGTTATAATTTCCAGACCACCCCACATGTCGGTCACCTCGTGAGCCAGGTCCAGATATTTTGTTTTCTTATCTGATTCGGCTTTTACTAAGTTCTCGTCATATGGAATGGTAATGTCGACCAAAAATATCCTTGACTGTGCCCGGTCCATCAGCACAATATCAGGTTTATTCGCAAGAATAGTCCTGTCTGTGATGATGGCCCGGTCCCGGTAGAGCCTGGCGCGGTCATTTTCGAGCACGGCTTCCGGTAAGTAATTATAATAAGGCAGTTTTCGATCCACGAGACCGCATTTCAGAGCGAGCTCCTGGTGTAGAATCCTGCCTACTAGGTTGTGCCTGTGCAAGTACTCAGAGTTAGAAAGCGCCGAACAACCGGAGATGACATGCCTAAGTGATTCACCGAGATGGCGACAAGCTCGACAGATGTCGGCGGTGCCATCCTTTAGGATGTATCTCCGATAATTGTTGGTCTTCATAACCTAATCCTGTATTGCACAGACAAAACCCTCGGTTTCCCCGAAGTGGTCACCGTCACAGTGGAGGGAGGCGACTGAATCTACGAAGGGCTCATGTCGAGCCCTGTAGTACCTCCCATGGAGCTCCTTCTCCTTCCATACGGTCTCCCGGTCGAAAATGCTCTGTATTGCCGGGTCCTGCCATTGCTTGTTGGCTAAGGATAGAGAGGTAAGCCCTTTATAACTAGAAATGACGTCCCTATAGAATGGATCATCCGATCTCAACAGGAAGTAATGACGGAGGCTGCACACTTCGCGATTATGCATGGTGAACGCGCTCAGAAAGCCACGCCCACCACGGCAAGTACAGCCTCATTACCAACTATCTCGAATGATGCATCCTATGGGACGTCATGGTCGTTTTCTATCCAGGGCGTTAATTTTAGTCTGAGTCCACCTGAGTATGCCAAAGGTATACATGAGGACAGGCATGACCCAACCGTTATATGCGTGTGTCTTATTCACACCGGGCATAAAGCTGTTAAGCACTTTGGTCAAGCGTGCGTAAAACACGTCGCAAACTGACTTTCATACCAGCCTCATCGATACTAATGTTCTGTGATATCGGTGATATCTGTGGTATCGGTATGTTTCAGCCTCGGAAAGGGTCCTTAAGTTGATAGGCATAGATAAATCTATGCCCTCAGAGTTTTAATTATTCGGGGACATAGTTCTTTCATAGTCCAACATACTCTAAAATTGTTATATATCTTCTTATACCAAAATGACTAAGTTCTTGGTAAGTACATAATAAATAATTAAATTAATAAGTAATTAATTAATTAATTTCAAAGAAAATATTATTAATAAAAATTTTAACATGAAAATGACTGAGTTTTTTAAACTTATAAGAAGAAAGAAGAACTAAGATCTGGTAATTTATGATACGTGGATTGAATCTTTTAGATAAAATGAATTGAACATTTTATATAAGCTAACAAATAATATTTTTCTTCAGTCCTTTCATTGTCTTTTCATCGTCTCTTCCAGAGTGATCAGAAGAGGCTCTATAAATCATTGGAGCGACCAATGGTAAGTGGAACGGGCCCAGTACCGAATCAGGCCGACTCTGTCGCGGCCTGTGGTCAGAGCCCGTAAACCACAGCGAGGGCCCTTGGACGGAAGTTGTAGCGAGTCAGTGTTCAGTTTCAGCACACAAAAATTTTTTCGGTTCACTATTCTCGAAAATATTGCCTAACAAGCATAAAAACATTCAGTCGATTGGAGCCTCCTTATTTTTTATAGTCGGAAAATAAAAATTATTAAGGTCGTCGTGATAAAAATAATAATCTTAAAGATCAGTTATATGTAGGTTAATTTATATGTTTAAAATGTTTTTATCATTCATTAAAATTAATATTTTATAATAATTATTCGTAATTGTATTATTTTTTTAAGATATTCGGTGTCCTTGTAGATGCGTATTTAGAATTTTAGCCAGTATTAAAGGTTACGTATTAATATTTTATAACACATATTAAGTGTTTAATAATTCATCTTTTATTATGAAAATAAGGCTGGATAATATTAATTTTACACTATCGTATCATTGTTGGTTTCAATCCGCCATTTTCTTCGTTGCCATTTTCATCTTCTTATCATAAATTGTCATAGTCCACAAGTCCACAACATGTTTATTAAATCTTTAAAAAATTTCTACATATTCACTTAATTATATGATGTTTACAAATATTAAGCAATAGTTCTAGCATCATAATTCTAGCAAAAACAGATGTTCTGCCGCAAGAATTTTACAGAAACCAAAAAATTTTGTCAGTGATAGAATAACATTTAAGTAGATTCTCAGGTCATTATTCACGTCAACTTTGTTTAAAAAAGGTTTAACTGCGCTACGGACCGCGAGGTTAAATCCTACCAACAACAAGTATTAAATACTTAGTATTTGCTCTACAAATAATTGTGCCATGTATAGATGTTTATCCATGTGCAATATTTATAAACACTTCCGAAGTATAGTAGAAATTCCTAGTGTGATGTGTTACCGTTTTTCTTAAATAAAAATAGTTATTTTCATGTAACATAAACATCGATGTTTAATATGATATATGCAATTAAGTCGAAGTGTCGTAAAGGTTGATCTATGTTTATATTATTGAATCGATGTGACATCAAAAGAAAATAAATATTAAAGGCTCGTATTTTCTTATATTTTGGAGTATAACACTATCTATCTTTCAATAAAACTTTTTAAAGAAATTAGGGTGACAAACGAATACACAGTGCCTGATTTTAGTGAATACTGTGACTCATAGACATATGCATTTATCATCGATTTAAAATCCAAAGGCCATCTGCCTTGCCGTTGCGTTGCCACTCTTGAGGACTAAGAAGCACCTCGTTACCAGTAAGAATGGTCTTCGATACTCTGCACTGACATTACGAAACACAGCAGCATTATAATGCTACATTGCTGTTATCAATAACAGTGTTTCGTGAAATAAATCAAATAAGTAACGTGAATTTTTATAAATTTTTACATGGAGTACGATATACAGAACTATTTCTTACACTTCCAAAGTTAACCTCAGTGATTTTAAGAGCTTTGCAAATTCAACTTCTAATTTTGACCGCCACGATCTTCCAATAGTCATAAGCATGACTGCTGATCCTATTGCTTGAGACTGGCCGCACCACAGAAATCTAAATATATATTAATTAGATTTCTGTGGGCGACACTGACCAAAATTCGGCCTGGAAGACATTATTACATATATGCATAATATTACAATGGCATGGCTGCATTAGACAATTTCTCACCCCTTTCCACTCCCTTTGTTTCGTAAAAAGCAACTCTAGGAAATGCCAAAAAATTCCGATTCCGATACATGGCGCTGGTATCACCATCTCGTTTACCGTTACAGCCTGTCAAATGTTCAGTGCTGCACATAGACATTAGGGGGAATATTTACCATAGTGGAAACGCCTGGCATTTTGGCGACTGCATTTTTTATTTTAGTTGTTATTTGAAGATGCTGCTCCCCGTCTCCCGATCTGATTCCCTCTGTCACCTCTTAGAACACCCATGGGATGTAGCGGATAAAGTTATATCGCCACTACACGTTAGAGCCAGACGTAAACTACTCGAACTGTCGGTTAATAAATTATGTACACGTACGTAACCTAATAATAATGAAGACCTTAAAATTACAACAACAAACAAACAATCTGTAAAAATTAAAACAAAACGGTTGGCTGACTTAGAGACCGGCGGCAACACCTGTATTTTTTCAACAAGAAAGAGATTATTATACGTACGAGGTTAAGGAGAGATCGCCAGTTCCTAGTGAGCTTTACTATATAAGTCGTGAGATTTTATGTTTTGTATTATTCGCAAACGTAGCTCGTTGATAGTTCAACATTATCTAAATTGTAATATATCTTCTTATACCAAAATGACTAAGTTCTTGGTAAGTACATAATAAATAATTATTTTGATAATAAATTAATTCATAATTACATTTCAAACAAAATATGAAAATTTAACATGAAAGTGACTGTGTTTTTTAAATTTATACCTAATAAAAAGATTTTCAATAAACTTCATATTTTCAGATCGTTGCTCTGGCGTTGATAGCAGTAGCAGCTGCAGAGCCTGGTAAGTTATAACACGTGGATTGAATCTTTTTGATAAAATAAATTGCATATTTTATATACCTAAGTCCAAACATAATAGCTTTTTTAGTGCTTTCATGGGTATTTAACGGTCAGACACGTGGTTACACTGACATTCATAATCACAGTTTTAAGTCTGATTTGTCACATATTCGAACGGAATGGATACGAAACTGCTTGGTAGCGTCGTGGCTAAGTGCCTAAGCATTTGGCTGCGGCGCTGCGGGTCACGGGCTCAGATGAAGCACGCATTAGAATTCCACACGGAACAAATATTTGTTCCCGACCAACAAATTATTGATCCGGGTCTGGTGTTTTTCCATGATAATTTTTATTGGTGTAAAACGCTCCTACGGTGCAAAATAAATCCTTATAATGTTGAAGGAACGCTTTTAAGCTATTGCATAGCTTTTATCGCGGGCTTTGAGCGCGGCGACCGAATCAAGAAATTCCGTAACGAAAAAAACCTAAGACCCGAAAACCTAACATCGTCTAACGTCGTTTAAGTTCGGCAGACTTCGGCACGGTGTTTGTGTGCGTGCTACTAGACGTATGCGTGTAGACTAGTTGCATGTATTGTAAGATAATAAAAATATTTTATACAATAATATAGTTTATTACAAGAAGCATATTCTTTAGATTTATATGAGTCGTCGTCATGCTTGCAACTTTCGTGAATTTAGAGTATTTAATAAAAAGACTTTATAGAAAATTATCGTTTGTCAGAAGAACTCGTTAATTACCATAAACCTATAGTTTCAATGTCTACCTCGTTGGTCTAGTGGTTGTAGTGGTGCGACTACTGATCACTAGGTCCGGGGTTCGAATCCCGGGTCGGGCGAAAAAATTAATTATTGAGTTTTTTCCGTCAAGAAATTCTCAATAGCTGCCTGGAGTTAGGAAGTTAGCGGTATATCACCCCCGTGCTTCGGAAGGCACGTAAAGCCGTTGGTCCTGCGCCTGATCTCTCTCCGGTCGTGTCGGTTTACCGTCCCATCGGATTATGAGAGTGATGGAATAGAGAGTGCACCTGTGCTTGCGCATACACTTAGGCACTATAATCCTGTCCTGCGCCGATGGCTTATCTCCGTTGAGGCTGGCCGCGGACCAAAATTCGGTCGAGAGGACATTATAGTTTCAATGATAAAAATTTCTGAATAACCTACATCTATTGTAAGATAATATAAATATTTTAAACAATATTAACTTCTCATTTATTAAATAAAAGAAAAAAATTGTTATTTTATCGGTCACCACGCTAAAAAGTGTAACTTGAATTAATATCAAAGAAAAAAAAACAAAGAAAAAAAATACTGCATAAATAAAATAAATAAATAATTATAACTGCATAAGTTGATAAAAATGCTATGCAATAGCTTTATTGCGGCAATCCCCGAGTACCACACGTATTTTTTTATATAAACCCCTGCACGTCTTAAGATGTTTAAATATATCGAATATGTGAGAAATCAGCCAAACATGAATTGTTAAACAAGCATTTCCACCAATGACGGAGTGACGCGGCGGACTTTTCCCTGTTTCAGAAACCCTATTTGAAATGCACGGAGACCTTTGCCTAGTAATGAAATAATTGTAGGCTGTAACTTCAGTTTACTTTCAATTAGTAAATTTTGTTTGTAAAAAAATAAAACAACTAAAAATTTTTAAAATGAACTTACTGTAACTTTGGAATATTTGTTTCATATTTCAAACTTTGGAATATTTGTTTCATTTTCATTACAGCCTCACAAAGGTCAAACATAGGCCACCCCCGATCTATATCTATATTGGGTCGATGTATATTGGGTCATATTTACAACTATACAAATGTTTGCCATAGTGGCCACGTTTGGCAGACGGATTGGCAAACGCAGTTTTTTATGATTTTTAGTTGATATCAGAAACATGCCGCTTTCCAACTGTTTCATTTTCATTAGTCGCCTTCTACGAGACGGGATGATAACAGCGCGACTACACGTTTTGAATATTATTGAACTTTGAATTTATTCAAGCACTTTACTGTATACTGCATACAATATGGACCATACTGAAAATGATTTACCACATGCTAAATAGTGTTTTTGCTGCATATTATTCTTACTTATTCTAGATACTCGTATATTTGACTCTATTTATTACTTTATTAAAAAATTATGCATCAAATAGAATTATTAAGAAAAAATTTAAATAGGTAGTGGATCATGATGTGGCATCACTATTAAACTAAAGGTTTCTCTAAGAAACTTTATAATGACACACTAGTGGATCACACATGTGCAAAGCCTGGAACTAATCGTAGTCGATGATAAATAATATCGTAATTTCAAATAATAATTTCAGACTTGAGTGGTGGAATTCGTCGCTCAGGAATTGGAGGTGGATTAGGTTCGGGCCACCATGGCCTTGGATACAGCGGCGGCAGCGGTTTAGGTGGCCGACAATCTGGTCTCGGCGGTGGATTGGGATCTGTACAAGGAGGCTTCGGAGGACAAGGCAGCCGAGGTATCGGCCAAGGAGGACTAGGAGGAGGTTACAGAAGTGGTGGATTAGGTCATGGAGGTCTCGGTGTTGGATATTAAAAGATTTTTTTAATGTTGAAACTATGTGATGTCATCTCAAATTTGTACAATCTGTATCTTTAACATAAAATATATGCATTTCCGAAGACATTATAATTACTTAAAATATAATTGCATTTTATTTCATTCTTGTGATCGCACTGCTTTTCTGTGTAGGAGTTCGTTTGCGTCCGTATCGCCCTCTCACCTGTCTCTGCCACCAACCGGCAATGGACAGTTTTTGTTCCGACTTTACTATTACCATTAAAGCCTTACAAAAGTCCACGGCTTAACATAGACCTCTACAGAGTGCCTCATATAGGGGTATATTTGCCATAGTTGCCACGCTTAGCAAAAGGGTTGGCGAACGCAATTTGTTATTATTGCTATCAGGAAGATACTGGTGCCCATCTCTTGGCCCATCTTTTCTTCTGTCGCCTCTGAGGACACCCACGGGATGTTATGGGGCAGCATGGGTGAGAAAGCATCTGTGACCTTTAACAAAGTCCACAATATGTAATACTGTATATGTTATAATGTAATATTGTAATTCATTTATGGAACAATGTATACGCTTTTGCAACAAAATCCCATAAAATGTACAAAATTTGTCATTAAACAAGTTTAAATGTTTTATTAAAGAAAAATTGTACAAAAAGGGTTATTATATTATAAAATAACACATAAATGAAAATAACCCCCGATAATGAGGTGGTCGCCATCATTCTGGTTCTATAAAAAATCATTAAAAAATTGAACAAAATTAATTTCTTGTTAATTGAAATATATTTAAAAAAACGTCACGCTGGGTTTCTTGCTGGTTTTTTTTCAGGACAGTTTCGAACCAGTGGTAAATAAAAAAGCGATTTTCAATAAGTATTAAACAATAATCTATATTGAGTAAGATCATTCCTTTCATTTCATTTCACTGAACCAACACGCCGCCATAAGAATCTCACACGGTGCGACGGGTTTCTTTTCTTCTAAATATTCTTTATCAATATAATATGATACCTTTACACTATGGGCTTATCTATATGTGTAAAATCAAATAATCGAAACACCTTGCAAGTTTATGTTTTGTAAAGATTATCAGTTTTTTTATTATTATATTACGAATAAATATCTAATGTCGCTTAATAGTGAGTTTTTTGAGGATTTCAAATTCTAATATTATTGTTCTAAATTCAAATTAAATTTTCATAGGTTTCATGTTTTCTTTAATGTGTCATTTTGTTTTGTATGGAGAACGAAGGCAATAAATGAAACAAAACACGAAGGTGAAAAAAAAACTGAAAAACTTTTATTAAATAACGTTTAATAACTAGTGTTCCCTCCTTGAGCTCTTATCACCGCTTCCATCCGGTTTTTCATCGATCGGATTAGAGTTACGATGACATGCTGGATGCTAGAGTTACGATGGATGTTGTTCCATTCTTCCTGAATGGCACTTTTCAGCTGGTCAAGTGAGTCTGGGGCAGGATCTCTCGCTCGGATTTGCCTCTTTAGTTGATCCCAGAGATATTCAACTGGATTTATGTCCGGGCTCCTTGCTGGCCTTTCCATAATCACGTACGACGCTCGCGGTGTGGGCTCTGGCATTATCGTGCATAAATGTATTCCCGTTGCTGATAAAGTGTGCATAGGGCATCACGTGAGGCTCTAGGCACTGTTCCACGTACCGATGACAGTTCAAAGCAGGTAGACGTGGCCCAGACACGAAGGCAAGCTCTGTCTTACCGTCGGCACTGATTCCTCCCCAAACCGTCCACGAACCACCACCATAACTGACCCTTTCTTCAATGCAGCATTGTGCAAAGCGTTCTCCATCTCTTCTGTAGACCTTGTTCCTTCCGTCGTTACCATAGAGCATGATTTTACATTCATCAGAGAAGAGAACCTTGCTCCATTGGAGGTATGACCAATTAACGTGCTCACGTGCAAAGTCAAGGCGCACTCTTCGATGGTCTGCAGTTAATTTCGGTCCAGTTGCTGGCTTGTGTGGTACCAGTCCACGTTTCTTCAACCTTCTTCTAAAACTTTTTTCAGTCTTAAAGTCACAGTAAACAAATTAAGAACAAAAACGTAAAGATAAACTCAAATTTTTAGTTTTTAAACGTGAAATTGTCTCCAACTATTTCCTCGCCAATTCTGCCTATGTGCTCTGACTTTGCCTCGGCAATGACTCTTTTGAACGACTTGGAGGCGGAATTATACTTCTTTTTTAGGGCGCTGGTATTTACATCCCGGGACGTTGATGCGTCAGCCCAGAACCGGTAGCACTCCTGCTTTTAGCATGACGCTATTTTACAGGAGCAACTAAACCATGGCTGAGATCTGCCTCTATGTTTTAGGAAATAAAACTTTTTCAGTCTTAAAGTCACAGTAAACAAATTAAGAACAAAAACGTTAAAGATAAACTCAAATTTTTAGTTTTTAATCGTGAAATTGTCTCCAACTATTTTCTCGCCAATTCTGCCTATGTGCTCTGACTTTGCCTTGGCAATGACTCTTTTGAACGACTTGGAGGCGGAATTATACTTCTTTTTTAGGGCGCTGGTATTTACATCCCGGGACGTTGATGCGTCAGCCCAGAACCGGTAGCACTCCTGCTTTTAGCATGATGCTATTTTACAGGAGCAACTAAACCATGGCTGAGATCTGCCTCCGATGGGCACCACAGAGGAAGGAATAAAAGGTTTCATATCCTGAAGTACCACATTAGCGACAAAATCAGCAACAACGTTGGGTTCGTCCGGCGAGAATCAAACCCATGTTCAAGGGTGGGATGCACCGAAAGACCGCATCCTATCCCAAACGTCTGACCTATAGTGTCAAATTCGGCGGCAATCTGCATGACGCAACGGCGATGGGAGCGTGGGTGGCACACTCCGGACAGGACAATAGTCCGAGGAGTCTAAAGGGGCGTCGACGGAAATCAAAAATAAGACAGAGCTTCGTGTCTGGGCCACGTCTACCTGCTTTGAACTGTCATCGGTACGTGGAATAGTGCCTAGAGCCTCACGTGATGCCCTATGCACACTTTATCGGCAACGGGAATACATTTATGCACGATAACGCCAGAGCCCACACCGCGAGCGTCGTACGTGATTACCTTACCGAAGTCGGTATCTCCATAATGGAAAGGCCAGCAAGGAGCCTGGACATAAATCCAGTTGAATATCTCTGGGATCAACTAAAGAGGCAAATCCGAGCGAGAGATCCTGCCCCAGACTCACTTGACCAGCTGAAAAGTGCCATTCAGGAAGAATGGGACAACGTCCATCGTAACTCTAGCATCCAGCATGTCATCGTAACTCTAATCCGATCGATGAAAAACCGGATGGAAGCGGTGATAAGAGCTCGAGGAGGGAACACTAGTTATTAAACGTTATTTAATAAAAGTTTTTCAGTTTTTTTTTCACCTACGTGTGTTGTTTCATTCATTGCCTTCGTTCTCCATACAAAACAAAATGACTCATTAAAGAAAACATGAAACCTATGAAAATTTAATTTGAATTTAGAACAATAACATTAGAATTTGAAATCCTCATAAAATTCACTATTAAGCGACATTTGATTGAAATTCCGCAATAACTTTGCACAAGCGTACTCACACGATTTAATATAACCTTTTACGTAAATCCGAGGATTCATGACGTTACGTTTTTGTATCTTTATTTAATTATAACCTGTATAGTTTTTTATCACTAATTTAAATTTGAATCTTTCAAACAAAGCAAAATATTATAACAATAACCAAAATCAACTTTTTTTACTTGACGTCGTTTCAATGATACGTCGCTATGTACCTAACCGTAATGTTTGGGTGATTAAAATTCATTATAATGCGAATAATCGGCAAAAATATTCAAATAATCGGTAAAATATTCAAATAATCGAATCATTAATTTTTAATGTATTATTTGTTTAATTAAATTTTTATTATTAAAATTTCTTAAATTACATGAATCATGATTTTATTTTTTTTAACTTTATCAACGTAAATTTGTGTAGGCAAAAAAACTCGTATACTCGTACAAAGTCACGCTAAAAACCACTACATAATTTCAATCTCCCGCCATTTCGGGAGGTTACTGTGCGTAATTTTGTGTTTGTCTTCTTATTTTGTGACTCGGCTTTGCCTTTTTGCACCGTTTCTTCTATATTCGTTGAAGCATGTGCCCATGTCATAAAGGATTATTGGGCAAAAGTGGTAGAAATAACAAAAAAATTGATTATGGATGACTTTGAAAGAGATATTAATTTTGACTGGATTATTGAAAATCGAATAAAAATTATAATAAACAATGACAGCTCATCTAGGTACTGTACTGTTTGATAAATTTATTTTTAATCTAGTTACAAGCCAAATTTTTTATAACTGTACCTCTAGAAATAAGCAGTAACAACAAATACGAGGAAACTGATATATCTTTTTTAAAATATCCGCTTTTAATTTATTCTGGTATTATTCAAACGAAACTGTAAATGATTACCAACTCTAAATAATCGATATCGATTTTTTTAAGAATCGAATATTATACGTTCCCATTTTTTGTTGGCATGCTTGGTGCAATAAGTCTGATAGCTGTCAAAATATATTTCTTAGATTTGGTTGACTATAATAATTCATACGGTAAGGGGTTAACCATAATACAGAGAATTCATTCTTAATTATATAATATATCAATGTCGACCACATTCTTTTTAATTTTAGATACGGAGTTTGTGTTCATATCTAGCACAGTAAAATACTATGCCCCTTAAATCTTGTATTGACGAGATATTCAGTGATTGAATAAAACTAAATTTACGGATTCTATCGCGTTTATTTAACTGATTTTACTTATTTTTAATTCGCGACGTTTCGGGTGCTTTACAGAGGCCGCAGCAACCACTTACCATCAGGTGGGCTGTGTGCTCGTTTGTCACCCTATCCTATAAAAAATTATGCTATGAAAGTAACTACATGTTTATCATATTAAATAATAACATAAACACAAAAGTCTGTATGTTAG